AGATTTTTAAAGCCCAAGAAAATGAAAGTGACAGAAACACAGAGGGGCAGAACTTTCTGGATGACTGAACAGTCAATGAACTTTAAGTGCCCGCCAGACCCAAATGCCTTGAACAAAGCAGCTCCAGATAGTGCCTTCTGATGTTACACTCTGCTCTTCCAAAAAATCAGACCGTGTCTCTCTTCCCCAGTGCACCTCCTATATTTAAAACTGTCGAGTGGCTTTTTAGGACACTAAAGCCCAGACCTCCTGAGGCGCTGGCCTCTGCCTACCTCTGCAGTTTCGTCTTCTGGCCCTCTTCTCCCTCTTCCCACCTTTCATCACACTGGTCTTTTGCTGTCCCCAAACGCCTGTCTTGTTCCTGCACCCCGGCCCTGCTGGAAGGTGCTTGGATGGTCCTGCAGACACTTTAACAGTGTCACTTCTCGTCATGCACATCTCAGTGTAAAGTTCATCCAGAAGAGTCCCCCGGCAGGCCCGCTTACTCCCTGCTCCCCGGCCCAGTTGGTCTCACTTCCTTGTTTTTGTTTTGCTTTGTTTTCTTTCTTTCTTCCTTTCTTTCTTTCTTTCTTTCTTTCTTTCTTTCTTTCTTTCTTTCTTTCTTTTTTTCTTTCTTTTTATCTTAAAAACAAACCAAAAAAGATAGAAATGATGGGGCTGGGGATTTAGCTCAGCGGTATAAGCACCTGCCTTGCAAGTGTGCAGTCGTGAGTTCGATCTCCGGTACTGTTAAAAAAAAAAAAAAAAAGATAGAAATGATACAGAATTTCAAAAAATAGTAGGAAATTAATAGTAGTTAATATAGTGCATATTGTTATCTTAGAAGTATTTGTTCAGATCACAAGCTTCAGGCATGGAAAATGATCAAACATTCAAACAATAAGAGCACAAACTTCTTCTTGATGAGCTAGCAGAGATTAGTAGTATAGTTATCTATCTCTCGTATACATATATGCACACATATATGTACATCCGTATATCTATAATTTTTTCCTTCTTCCTTTTCTCTGTCCCCTTATCCCAGTTGTTCTTTCCTTTTGAGCACTTTCTCTCCCTTTCATTTTCACAACATCAATTGTAAATTTTGGATCTTATTACTCTTTCAGATTTTTTTTTGATTCTGTTATGCTTGGTTTTTTTTAAATCTCACTTAGAGCTAAATTAATGTTTTGTTCACCTGCTGTCTTAGCCACTTTTCTTATCACTGATACTCGATACCCAATGCCCACAACTTGAAGGGGGAAAGGTTTACAGAGCCTACAGTGTGTAGAGGGTTCAGTGCATAATCGGCTGGCCCCAAGGCAGGCTAGCATGGCAGAGGGGCACTGGCAAAGAGAGCAGCTCACAGCACGGTGAGAAGATGGGTGGGGAGGAACTGGGGAGAGATAAACTCCTCCTGCCACACCCCCAGTGGCCCACCTGCTACAATCAGTGGCCTCCCAGCATCACACTTTCCTGTAAGCTCATCAGGCACTAACCCATTGACAAATATCACACCCCCGTGATCCAACCACCTCCCTGAATCCCCATGTAGAAGCACCTGAGGCTTTGAGGGCAGGTGTCTGTAACACTTGCTTTTGTTTTTCTTTCCCACTAGAATATGTGCTTCCTGAGGGCAAGGTCTTAGTCTGCACCAACATTTAGTATATAACAATGCTCCATTAATATCTGTTGAATGAATGGGTAGAGGGATGTATAGATAGATGAATACATTTTTTGTCAAGTGACATCGTTTTGGTCTCATCTGAGGGGACCAGAGGTTGTCATTGTAGTCCAAGTTGTCTATGGAGCTTGTTGTCACCTATAGTAGCTTAGGAAGAGGCCGCATGAATCTCTGCCTGCACTGTACAAGCTATCTGAGCCCTTGAGGTTTGCATTAGGGGCATTTTAAATTCAAAATCATGCGGGAAGGCAAAAGATGCAAGCAGTAGGGAAGGGGACAGCAGAAACAGGGTTATTAGGAAAGCAGACAGAGCCGGGCACGTGGCACATGTCTGTAGGCCCAGCACTCGGGAGAGTGAGGCAGGAGGATTGCTGTGAGTTTGAAGCCAATCTGGGCTACATCGTAAGTTCAAGGCAGCCTGAACTGCATAGTAAGATCCTGTCTCAGGAAGAAACCAAACCAAACCAAACCAAAACAAAACAGCAGACAAAAAGGGAAATACATGATTGGAGTCTCAAAAAGAGTGCTGTCACTAGCGTTTGAATCAGTGTTGGGTCACCAAAGAAGTTTAGAGCTCCAGTCTTATCCTAGAGGATAAGCATTTCTCCAGTTTTTGGCGAGAGCTTTCCTATCTGTCTTTTAGTAAAAATGAAGTGTTTTTAATCCTATGAAAAAATTCTTGACAAAGTTTGAGACATAGGAGGCCTTTAAAAGGCTGACGTCCTAATGTAAAACATGATGCTTTCATAGGTAAGAGCTCTCTGTTTACGTCCGGAGAACCTACTGTACAAACATGAGTTTAGTGGAGGACCGGACTAAATAGCAACCGAAAGCACTTTTTTTTCGTATCTGCAAGTTCAGCGTACATAACAGTGGGATGAACAAAAAAGCAGTAATTCCATCTTAGGTGATGTTTATAAAGCCATCGGGTTCCATGTTAGAGACAAGATTCCCTCACCTGCACTGTGCATATCCAGCTGGACCTGGAGCGCAGCGCTCCACTCTGGGGACCACGTGAAGAACAAAGCTTTGGGAGGAGGCCAGGTGAGTCCATTTGCTCGGAGAGGCATAGGTGTGCTGGGCTGGTTGAAGGATAAATGAACCTCTCAGAAACGAGCACAACCAGAAGAAAGAGTCGCGCCTGTTACAAAACCTTCATTGTTGAAGGAAGAAATGATTTCGTGTACCTTTTGCTCAACACCTGATCTCCAGATTCAGGAACCCTCCCGCCCCTGCAGCGCCTCCTGTGGTTGGAAAGTGTTTTTCCCCTGTTGGGTTTTGGATTTCCTGGGAATCAGTTGCCCCTTTTTGCCTATTTCTCCCTTTCAAGATGGGACAGACTCTCCTACGCCTGTGCCACTGTGGTATTTGGAAGTAGATGACATGCTTTTCTCTGCTAGGCTCGTGGCAGGGGGACCCTCCTTTAGGATGGATCAGGCTCTGAGCCTCACCCACATATGATGCAAATGAGGCTCTGGGCTTTGGAGTCTTGAGCTGATACCAGAACAAGTTAAGAACTGGGGGACTATTGGGATATTAATGCAATTTGCATTGTGGGAAAGACATGAGGTGACTGGGGATGGATTGCTTTCCAAAGGTCATGCGCTGGAAGCTTACTCTCTAGAGTGGCTGTTTTGGGGAGGTGTTTAGTCATGGACCTCCACCTTCATGAACTGTTTTCATGGGGTGAGGTCATTAACCGAAGGGGCTTGCTCATGGGACACCCCCTGGTCCTCTTGTGCATGCTTGATTGCCCTTCTCCTGCATCAGGACAGGACACAAAGACCTGCACCAGGTGTGGCACCACTCTCTAGGATCTCCCAGGCTCCAGGACTGCGAGTCAAATAAACTTCTCTTCTTTGCAAATCACTCAGTCTATGGTATTCTGTTGTATCAAAAAATGGCCCAGAGATATCTCCCCACCACATATTCATACCCGATTCCTATACAGAGTAGAAGTAAAACAGTTAAAAGTCAAGTTCACCAAAATTCTTCAAGAGTTTGGGACCTGGGAGGTCTAGGTAGCAAATTCGTGGAAATAGCATTGTTTCAGCTTTGCAACAGAAAACAGCGGCTTCTTGGACTATGGTCACCGCCACTGTACCAGGAAGTGGCAGGAGACCTGACTCAGGCTGCAGCACTGTGGGCAGAGGTGGCATCATAATTTCTAATTCCCCCACAATGTGCATTCACATGTACATTACATGCATATATTTCATTTTTGGCCCACATCCATACCCAGAACCTTAGGGCTCTAGCTTTGCGCTAATGTTAAGGATTGAATTGGAGAGTAGTTTGTTTTATCCGAGGGTGACCAACAACCCTTCAGGCTGAGGAAACCGAGCCAGTTTTTTTCTAGAGCTCTACCCAGCAAGACAGTAAATATGGCACAGGCTCGCTGACTGTGGTAGCCTTGAGTATTAGTCTTCTTAGGCTGCCAGAGTGAAACACCACAGCCGCATGGCCTAAGCCTTGGAAATTTATTTTCTTACAGTTCTAGACACTGAGGTACCAGCATGATTGGCTCTGTGACAACTGGTCTTGCTTACGACTAGCTGCAGTCTCTCTGTGCTTCCTGGGCAGCAAGGGAGAGGGGGAATCCCTCTCTGGCTTCTTGCTGTAGGAGCACAATCCTGGGGGAGTAAGGCCCGCCATAGGACCTCATTCCACCTGGATTACTTCCTAAAAACCCCACCTCCGAATAATGCCACACTGAGGTCCAAAGCTTTAACATGCAAAAGGAAGGGGACACAATTCAGTCCACAGCACTTTGCTTTTGGATGAGAATTGTGGAAATGTTGACTTTGGAAACAATAGTTCTTTTTTCTTGTTCATTTTTGCCTCACAATCTATTGTTGATTGCTCAACGATATTTCTGCAGTGCTACATGAGGACTGCGGAAAGCAGGAAAGGGGAGTAGCCGAGTTACAACATCTCTCCACTCATTCCAACCTGCCGACCTCAGGACAAAGTTAATTAACTCCTCTAAATTTCAGCTCCCTCACCTATGAAAATGCTTAGTGTCTGAAATTGTTGTGAGGCTTAAATGAGAATTACAAAGCACTTAGTGCAGTGCCTGATGTGGAAAATATTCAAGAAGTGATGCCTTAAAAAGAAAGCCAGATCTTGAGTGTAAAATTTTAAGTGAACGGAGGTGTAGAGTATCCGACATCTAAAAGACACACAGAACTGATCAAAGACCCAATGTAAATTAACAGAGTACATATTGTAAACAGAGGGACTTCATGGTTTTTCTAGGTGTATGGAACTGCTCTCTTTCTCCTGAGAGACTGTGTTTTTCCTCTGAATGTTGGACAAAGAAAAAGGAAGACATATCTAGATCGTCAAGGAGGCAAGGGCATTTTTTATTGCTCAGAACGATAACTGACTGTACTGTGCATAGTTTTATGAGTCGATCCTCGGTAACATCTATCAGGACAGAGCTGTTAACTACCTCCCATAAAATCCTGCCGGAGCCACAGAGGATGCAGAGCGGAGAAATCATGCGTGGCTGCATGCCGTCCGCCCAGCTACGAGCCCCTAATCAGCAGCTCTGTGGGTGAGGCGGCTCACGCTGTTAACTCCACTTAGAAACTGACTTTGAAGCAAGGTCAAGAGAAATGCACTGCGAGTACAGTGAGTATCCGAGGGTAGCCTTGAATTAAATCATTGTGCAAATTAAATTCTTATGTGAATCAGCCTCATCTTTTTTTCTGGGGCTGCACCATGAATCTCCTGTCCCCTTGGCCTTCATCTCCACCCTTCTCTGTTTTCCACCCTTGCCCACGGCCAAGCAGACTCTTCAGAATTCGGGAATCATCATGCATGCATGTATTCCGTCCACCGAATGATCTGAACGTCTGTGCCGAAAGCAGAAGTGGGGGCTAGAGGTATAAATACGGATCAGGGTGTTTGTAAGTGAGCATTCCACAGGCTGGTTTGAGAAACAGAAAGGGAAATCATTGCACTATAATTTGATAACTGCTTTAAAAGAGCTATGATGGGCAGGGATGACTGTTCTGCTTTGGGAAGAAGAAATTCCTTGAAGCCTGTGTTTCTTGGTTTGCATGTTGAGGGAGTAAAGGCTGAAGGAATTTCAGCCAGAAGAAACAAAATGCGTGTGAGCTTAGACTCTCATGTTGTTGGCACTGAGGCTTCATGGAGAAAGGGAGGCTGGGGAGAGACGGACCAGCAGCAGCATGGGAAACTCAGAGGGGAAACATTTGGCCCCGTTCTGAATTTTAGAATGGACATAACTTCCAGCTCCTGGAGAGTAGCCTCTCGTTTTAGAAGATAAACTAAGGCTTTGGGCACTTAATAACTTGTTCAGGACAGGACCACGGGTACTGCTAATTCCAGGTCCTCCACTTCTTTCTCTGTGGCCTCCAAACACAGCTCCTAGCACCTACTTGGAAAGCTGTCCCTAGGAATCCTGGAAATTGGACCTTTCAAGCTCAACCTAGTAGACAGGGTGTGGAGTCAGCTCTATAGTCCTATGTCTGTTCATTAAAGTCGTGTTCATTTGAATTATTTTCTTTTTGTGTGTGTTCAGGATTGAACCCAGGACCTAAGCATGCCAGGCAAATGCTCTGCCACTAAGCTAGACCCTTAGCCTCAAATTTGACAAATATTTCACATACATTGTGATCAGGTTTAAAGACCACTTAAAGGAGAGCATATTAGCCATGCACATCGTGGTACATGCCTGAAACTCAGCACGCAGGAGTCTGAGGCAGGAGGATTGCTTCGAGTTCAAGGCCAGGCTGCGCTACACAGTGAAAAACCTGTCATAAAAAAAGAAAAGAAAGAAAGATAGAGAGAAAAAAAAGAAAGAGTATAGTGGGTTTTGGCCTCTGCTCAAAAAACCTGCCATAAATATGGTGATGACCCAACAGTTCCAGAGGCTGGAATCAGTTTTGCGGGCTATTGTCCAGGTGTCACAGGCTTAGCTCCTTCCTGCTCAGAGCGCTGGGGAGAGTTTGTTGCCAGCCTAATCCAGCTGCGGGAAGCTGCTCGCTGTCCTTGGCTGTCACCACCTCACTCCAGTCTCCGCACAGCTGTCACACTGCCTCCTACCCCACTGTCCTTCGCACCTCCTTCTTGCTGGACCTCTCTGCTTAGCTTTAGGGCCCACCTGAGTAATCCAGGCTAAACTTCCTGCTGTAAAATCCTTAATCACTGTGCAAGGTCTCTTTCTCTAATTTTTATTTTTACCAATACAAGTTTGCAATACACAGTGGTTACATTCGGGGGGGGGGGTTGATACATAATACATCTTATTTTTTTCATAATCAAATCTTTTGTATAGAAAGTAAAAATACAATGCACAAAATGGTAGAAAATGTTTTGTAAATTATCTGGCTGTTGTTTCTATTATAAACAAAGAAATATGATAATTCAATAATAAAATGATATGAAGTCCTAGTTTAAAAGGGGGAAAGAGGGCTGGGATTTAACTCAGTGGCATAAGCGCCTGCCTGGTAAGTGCAAGGTCATGAGTTCAACCCCTAGTACCAAAAGTAAAGAAATATATAAAAATCAAACAAAACAAAACGGGCAAAGATGTAATGGATCTAAATAGATACTTCTCCAAAGAAAACACACAAATGGTCAGTGAGTACCAAGAAAAGATGCTTAATATCATTACATTTCTTTATCCATACCCTTCTCCCCTTCCCCCGTCATCTCCCTCCAACTCTTGGTTCCTTTCAGTTTTGTAAGTGATCGCCCTGTTTCCTATTATTTCTATTCTGCTCCCTAGAACATTTACATCTTGGGTTTCTCACATAAGAGAAACCATGAGATATCTGAGCTTCTGCGACTGATTTATTTCACTTCACATAATGGTCTCATAATGTACCCATTTTCCTACAGATGACTCAAGTTTACCCTTCTTTATGGTACAAGATCTCTTTTTAATATAAAGTAACACTTGCAGATTCTAGGGCTCAGCAAGTGGATGTCTTGGTTTGTGGTGGTGATGGAGATTATTCAGTTTACTAGAGCGACCAATATTCTTTGTCCTGTTCATGCCTAGGGATATTAGGAATTCAAAGGTAGATAGGAAAGGCTAGACCAATAATCCCTTAATGTCTCAGTCCATAGGAGAATCAGAAGGGTTTGGCCTAATCTTTGTAGGGAAAAAGGCAATAGTCTGTTCATTCTGCTCATAGTAAGGGCCATCATAGTTAAATAAATTTTGAGCTGAAAGTGTGCTTGGCATTTTAAAAAGAGTTGGGGGCTCCTGCAATTAATGTTGGCTGATTACTAATGGCAGAGCCCCGTGACAAACTGAGTACCAAGAATAAATGCTTTTTGATGTGCAGACTCAGGGTCATAGTTTCTGGATGGATTTGGCTCTGTGTTTAACTCAGGACATGCTGAAGCCTCAGAGCAGAACTGCCATTAAACTCAGGGTCCCTGCTCCAGGACCTGCACATGAGAACACCCTGGCATCCTTTTGGCTGTGTCTCTCCCCCAAGAAAGCCAAAGGGGACGTGCCCACTGGAGTCTGAGCTACTGTGGTAGTCCGGGATTGAAAGGAGAACAAGACAGTGCAGGACACCTAATTTATAGTATTATTTTATAGTAGTCAAAAGAAGAGTTAAATACAAGAAGTGCAGGAAATCTGTCCATACATTAGAGACCCCATGAATCTAGCTGAGGGCCTGGATCCCTGAGCAATGTCCTGTGTGACTTCAGCTGAAAACCTAAAGACCATGACAATGACTCACGCAAGTCTATTTCATGGATCTGTACTGGGAAGGCCCACAGGCCAGTGGTGGAAGCCAGAAAGTCTGTGCCAGCGGGGTGAAGGACCTGTGCCAGGAGGTTATGGGTTCTGCACTGGAACCAGGAAGCAATTCTCTAAGTAACGACCAGGGCTCCCCCAAAAAGCACCACAGCCATACTTAGCATCAATGAGGTCCCAAGCTCCTCCAGTGATGAGAACAGCCAAGTTCATATCAGGAAGCTAGTGTGAAAAGCTTCTGGGGATTTAACAGTACACATCTTCCCTTCCAGATCCAGAAAGTGGTAAAGACCAGAGCTCCACAAAGCGAACCGCTGCAAACTCCTCTGACAATGGGAACAGCCACATTCTTATCAGGAAAGAAGCTCAACAAGCTCCTTCAGGAGGACCAACAACATCATAGAGAACCAACAGCACTGTATCTCTACCTCTCCATTTCTCCTTTTTATCTCCACAATAATCCTCGGCCATCCACACTCAGCACCACGCTGATTCAGTTCAGCTGATATTACAAGTTGACCACCAGTTGTCAATCCACCATAGTACTCTCCCAAAAATCCTTCAGGTACCCAGGAATTTTAGGTCCTGTCCAAATAGTCCCAAGTCTGTTTCCAGGACCTACATCAAATGATGTCAAGAAATACTTCTGCTGTGGCCATGGATCGGCTCTTTGTAGGAGGCTCTTTGCTCTGAATGTTTGTGTTCTGCCAAATTCATATTAAAAATTCCTGACCCACTAGCTGATGACACTGAGAAGCGAGTCCTCCATAGGCAATTGAAGGTTAATGCTCTTTGGTCTGTTGCTGCTTTCACCATGTAAGGTTAAGAGAGAAGGTGTCATCCATGACACACAGTTGGCCTTTACCAAACATAGCATTTGTCAGAGTCTTGATCTTAGACTCCCAGCCTCCAGAACTGTAAGAAATAAATTCTTCTTTGCAAGCTACCTGCTTTATGGTATTCTTAGAGCAGTTCAAATGGACTCAGACAGATGGAACTTGGACAATGAGCAGGGATTACATAGGTAAGTGTCAGGCTATGACAGAACAGGACGAATCTCGGAACCAAAGTCATAAACCAGAGTTCAGTTCTCCTTAGTGACCTTGAGGGTCTGGCAGTGAACTCTGATAGATCTGAGAACATAGCCTATTTTTATAAAGATATATTTGTGATACAGGATGATCAGGCATCTTTCTCTTGGCAGTTTTTCAGCCTGAAATATAAATATGAAATAATGAGATATGTGGGATGTAGGCCTCCTTAGTACTCTTCTTGTGTTGGTCTCTGTATATGCAAGAGACAAGTCTGGCCAAAGTTGTTTTTACTACGTGAACAGCAACACCAAAGCTGGAGGTGGCCACTGAGCACAAGGTATGGCAAGCACTTCACTACTGTGGGAAGGAATCAAGCTCAGCTTGTTAGAGCAGTAGGCTGAATTTTTAAAAAAAAAGTTCAAATAACTCCACAAGCTACTAGAAAATTGATGTCTGTTTTAGGGCCTCGACCTTCATAAAACAGGGTGGTTACCTGGAGTGAGAGGAGTAAACATGATGCATTAGTCAGCGTTCCAGTTGCTGAGACCAAACACCCAACACCTGTAACATTTTGGCTTAATTTGGTTTAACTGGCTCACGGTTTCAGAGTGTTCGGTTCATGCGGTGGGCTCCAAGGCAGAAATAACATGGAGCAAGGGGATGGTAGAGCAAAACCGCTCAGGTCATGGTGGCTAGGAGGGGAACAGCACTAGCCAGAGAGGAAGGGTCATGGACAGATTTAGTACCCAAGGTTACACCTCCCCAACACAGCCAGTAATCCCTTGGGTGGCTTCCAGCCTAATCAAATTAGGTTAATTGTCACACATGATGAACACACTGGTTTTGAGCTTAGTAGTATCAATATTTAATACTAAAGTCCAACACTAACATTTAGTCTCTGGTGTTCAGAATTTGAAAAATGCCTGGTTCTTTTTTTTAAAATTTATTTAAAGAGAAAAACAAAACTAAACGAAGCAAAACAGTAAAAGGCTAGAAGTAATACAGAATTTCAAGAGAAAAAATATACAGTAAGAATTCACCAGTTAATAGATCACACATCGTCATCTCAGAAACAGTTGTCCAGATTACAAAATTAAAGCATACAAAGTGGACATTAGTACAGTGAGATTGCAGACAGTGTTCAATGATCCAACAAAAACTCAGTAATATGGATCTCTATCCTACACATTTAAATATACTTGCAGTTATATCCTTTTTTTAAAAATTTTTTTGTCTTTTTCTTTTTTTTATCGGTACCAGGGATCGAACTCATGACCGCCTGCTTGCAAGGCAGGTGCTTATGCCGCTGAGCTAAATCCCCAGCCCCTGCAGTTATATCCTTTAGATCACTTTCCTTCGTCTCTTTTTTATGCTAACAATCACACTTTTTGGTTTCCATTTCTCCCATAGTTCTTATAACTTTTTCTTTGAAGAGGAAAAGAAAAAAGATTAAAAAAAAAACAAAAAACAAAACAAGACAGATCAAAGAAAAACCCAATGTGACAAAGCAAAACAGAGTCAGAACAGAAGGATGGACATAGTATATAATGCAAAAAAAAAAAAAAAAAAAGATTACTAGGTGATCAACAATGGTTACCATTATGCCTCTTGTTATCCTAAAAAGAGTTGCCTATATCAGCTGGTATAAAAGAATTGAACAAAACAGTACAGAAGACCAATAAAACCCACATTGGAGAGCTTACAGGACTTCCAAAGAAGATAATAGTCAAACAATAACGGGCATCATAGAATATCTGGTTGCCTTCCAAATAGTTGCCTATACCCTCAAACGATACTATTAAGCAAAACAGAATATAATAAAGTCAGTCAGAACAAGATGTGGAGAACAATACAGGGGTTCAAATCAGGTTAGTAGGGAAACAAAAAAGTTACTATATCGCAAGATTTTTAATTTAGTTTTCCCTTAGTTAAAAGATTCTAAGAAATAAGTTAATTTTTAAAAAAGCGGGGGGAGATTGAGATTATAAAAAAGAACATATCAATAGAACACCAGTCGGAACCAAAAAATTTAAGCATCATTGTGTTTCACCACCAGATAGCCTGACATTAATAGTAGTTACCATCGTGATTCTTTCCTTGAAATATTCGAGTCTAACTTCGTATACTATAGCATCAAACTTATCAAGACAGCATGAAACCTTTCAAGAGAATGAAATTATTGCAGGGTATTTAGAACCAAATGCCTGATTCTTTTTTTTTTTTTTTTTTTTGTCTTTTTCATTTTTATCGGTACCAGGGATCGAACTCACAACTGCCTGCTTGCAAGGCAGGCGCTTATGCCGCTGAGCTAAATCCCCAGCCCCATGCCTGGTTCTTTTTGTAAATTCCAGTCTTGTTATAACTAGATAATTCAGTTGCATAAGAACTAAAAGTTATTTTGGCAAAAATTTAAGTGAACAAAACAACAAGTGATTTTTCATAAAAGATATTCTTCCATGAAGATTCACTCAAATTATATTTTTTGAACCTAGTAGGTGTAGGAGTGGTTTTCTTTCATTGGAGGGGGGAAAAACAGATAACTTTATTCAAAAAATTCCTAATCTATTGATAGATTTCTTCAGATAATCTAATTAACAATGATTAAATAACTTACTCTTGCTGAGACATAATGCCAGACATTGCTATACTGAGAAGAAGAGGTTTGCTTTGGCTTAGTATGTTGTAGCTTCAATTCATAGTTGGCTGGCTCCAGGATAGGGTGACATGGCAGAGGGGCATTGCAGAGGAGAAATACCTCTGCAATGGTGTGGCTTTGGGAAGCAGAGAGATCAAGGGAGGAGGAGGGGGGAGACAGACCCTTCTAGGTCACCCACTTCCTCCAACCAGGCTTCACCTCCCAACATCAAACATCCACTGATATGTATCATACCCCCATGATCCAGTTACCCCCCCAAAGCCCCACTTGTGAGTGCATGAGATTTTGGGGGAACATTCTGAGGTAAACCATAAATGGGGAATAGGTTTTCCATCTTTAAGATCATACCCAGAGAGCACAGGGTTATAAAAAAAGAAATTGACCAATTATCAATAATATAAATATTGCTTTCCCACCATTGGAATCGTATAGTGTGTGGCAAGCCTGCATCTTCCGGTCTCTAAGAAATCTTAGGTGAACTTCAAACTGCACTCTCACAGTGAAGAAGCTTTCTTGTGGGACTTTTCACCTTGGAAACTGTTCCTGAAGGATGACATTATCTGACTTAATGCAAAACTTTGCTTGTGTATCACTTCTGTCTTAAAGTACAAAGAAAACATTTAGAGAACTTTTTCTTAAGTGTCCCCTTTCTTCAGGGACAACACTAAAAAGTACTGATACACAACCCTTGTTCTGGAGCCCTTTACTGTATACTTTTGCTCTTCCTGCTGCACTAGATACAGAGGCTACAGAGGAAAGTAGTCGAATAGGCATTGGCCAAGGTCTTCTGTTAAAGGGGACAGAGTAAATCGCTTAGGTTTTATGGTCATGTCTATGTCACAACTGCTCAGCTGTACCATCATGGTGTGAAAGCATTATAGGCAATGTGTAAATGAGTGGTTATAGTTGTGTGGAAACAAAACTAATTATGGACAGCAAAATTGCAATTTCATATTACTTGCAGATGTCACAAAATACTGTTTTTTAAAAAATTTTTTTCTCTAACTTATGTAAACTGTAAACACACTCAGTTTATAGGCCAAGATCACTGGTAGCAAACCGATAATTTAAAAAATGAGGCAAGCTTTAAAAAAGATACAAAAACAGGCATCAATTTAAAACCATGACACTCCTAGATAAAACAGAAGGGAGAAACTTCTTGACACCGATCTTGGTCATGACTCAAAGGGAGAGGTAGTAGAAGCAAAATAAGACAAGAGGAATATACCAAATTTTAAAACCTTGGGTGATAGAACTGTGGGGGACCGGCGGCGGCTGAAAAGATAAGAAGCATGAAATATAAATGACCTTTATTTTAAGAATGCGGGGAGAGACCCCCTGACACCCTGGGGCATGGCATCTCCCCCTGGGGTTGGCAGTCTCTCCGTGGGACATGTGGAGTGGGGGCATACATGTAGCCTAGGTTTGGGGTGGAGCCTAAGGGGCATTAGTGATGCACAGGTAGCCCATTGGCACTCATTTGGTGCCAGAGGTAAATTCCTAGAGGTGGGGAAGATGGAGCTCCTTGGTTCCACCTGAGGCTTTACCAGCTACAGTGTCCTGTCTGGGCCAAAACTCTTTCATATCCCATCTTATGATTATTATTATGAAAAGGGGCAAAGATTTCTTTCTTTACTGATTCCTGATGGAAGGGGGCACTGTACTGGGGTCTAGAGGAGTCAATGGGATGACGGTTGATGCCCAGGTAGAAGCTGGTGCCAGGTGTTTTAGCCAAGACAACTTCTCTGGTGAATGCATGTATGTTAGACTGGAAATACAAAGAGACAAGATGTTATGGGGAGGCATGGCACTGTCATATTTAAGGACCCAGGTGAGGTAGAAGGGAAGGTGCCTTTGATTTAGACATGTCATTTTATCAGGACCACGTTGAGGTAGAATTATTGCCACGGTAAGGTAGAATTCTGAAAAATAAATGTGGGGTTAGGAGGAGTGAAATTATGAGAGGTGATTACTCCCCCATCTGAAAGGGTAAAAGTTAAGAGGGTAGGTAGGTAGGGCTTATCTCTGGTATGCACGACATGGGAGTCT